AGTTAACGGCTTATGGTCTGTGTAGATAACCGCATTTCTGCCTTCAATCATGTAACGAAAATAATGGACTACTGAGTATATGGCTAGTAACTCACGGTCGTAAGCTGCTTGGGTCGTCGTGAATTTCTTTGAGTAAAACCCAAGTGGCTGTCGTTTTCCATCGATAACTTGTTCTAATGCGGCACCCATAGCAGTATCGGAAGCGTCTGTCACTAATTGTAAGATGAGTCGTGCTCGTTCGGCTGGGTGTGCTAGCATGGCGGCTTGTGCAAGTTGTTCTCTGCATTTGTTGAAAGCTTTGTCCGTTTCTTGCGTCCATTGTATTTGTCTCTTATCTCGTTTCTTGGCTCCAGCTGTAAATGCGTGCAGTGGCGCCTGTGTTTCGGCGGCTTTAGGAATGGATAATCTATAAAAATTAAGCATTCCGAAGAATCTTCGAAGTTCGGAGATGTTTTTTGGTTTCGGAAGTCCAGAACTGCGCGAACTCGGTGTTTCAATGGCTTGATCCCCGTGGGTGTAACCAAATAACCTAAGTATTCGACCTCAGGTTTACCGAAAACACATTTATTTGCTTTAATGGTAAGACCGTGGCTTTGTAGTCGGGACAGGATTTGCTCGATGTTTTCTTTATGTTCTTCCGTCGTTCGTGAGGCGATGAGTATATCATCCAGGTATACAAAACAGAAGTCTAAGCCTCGTAGCACCGTGTCCATGAAACGTTGGAATGATTGAGCTGCATTTTTAAGCCCGAAAGGCATTACATTAAACTCGTAAAGGCCGAAAGGAGTTATTAACGCTGTTTTTTTACTGTCCTCTGGAGTCATCGGGATGTTGAAATATGCACGTTCAAGATCAAGAGTCGTGAAGATGGTGCATCCGTGGAGTGAGCGAAATCTCGGAGATGAGGCACTGGATACTTGTCTGGTAATGTCATCTTCTTTTACTGGATACTTGTCTGGTAATGTCATCCGATTGAGACGTCGGTAATCGCCGCAAATTCTCCACGATTTGTCTTTCTTTTGACGCATCAGCATTGCGCTGGAATAAGGACTGCTAGAAGGGCTTATGATACCTTCCGTAATCCAAGTTTCGATTTCACATTTAGCGTAACGTAAACGCTCGGGTGAGAGACGTCGTGCTCTGTCCGTGCAAGGGGGTCCTTTCGTAATGATGTGGTGTCTCACGGGGTGTCGAGGTTCCCTGTATTTTGTTGGCCTGGTCACGTCGATGTATCTTCGTAGAATTTCGTGGTATTCATTACTGGAATCGATTGTTGTGAGTGATGAGACTCTGCTCGCCGCCAAACTTCCGTTTGCGGTTAAGTTTGTCATGGCGTCCAACAGTCGTCTTCCACGGATATCTGGAAGCAAATTAAACTCGTGTAGAAAGTCATTACCTAAAATAGGTTGTACCACGTCGGCTACTATAAATGTCCAGGCGAATTTGCGTCGGAGGCCTAAATCCAGGTTCAACCGCTTCTCTCCATATGTCGGAATAATGGTGTGGTTTGCTGCATACAAATAGCGACTTTTAGGAAAGACGTCTTTTGACCAAACCCGTGGGAGCACGGATACAACATCCCCGGTGTCAATCAAAAAACGGGTGCCGATTTTCCTGTCGGTGATGAGAAGTCGTTTATCGGGCCTTGATTTACCGGCGGCGGCCCGTATACTCGCCGGCGGGTTTAGTTTTCCTGCTTTTGTCCCTGCCGTTTGGTCCATGAACATGGTGGTCGGCAGTTTTGGGCGTCGTTGCCAAATCTCCGGTGATAGTAGCAAATCTTCTGTTCTTCGCCTTTGTGTGGGGTGACCGAACGGTTGCGACTTGCTCTGCGAGATCTGCTTTGGCTGCGTCCTCGAAAGGCACGTTCGAATTTCCGCGTTAGAGCCTCGACTGCGCGACGCAACTCGTTGATGTCACTTGATTGGTTGTGTGCTGGGAGGTTAGAGGGTAACGCGACTGTACCTGCGGAAGTCTGGCCGACACTAGATATTTGCGGGCGCATCACTTCCGATATTCTGTCGGCTTGCGCGGCAAGCGTGGCCAGGTCGTCTAATTGGCTCATCGCGAGAATGCCCCTCATATGCTCTGGGATTTGTTCCATGAACAAGCTGCGTAGAACACTGTCGTTGCATTGTCCGCCGGCTAAATTCCGTAGTCGTTGTAAGAACACCGACGGTTTCTCGTCGCCCATCGCTTGTCCCCGAAGGAGACGTCGCAGTCTAGTTTCCTGCGAATCAGACAGACTATCAATTATGCGCTGTTTGAGTGTCTCATACTTGCCCTGCGTTGGTGGGGAGTCGATGATGTCGCCGACAATGCCTATAATGTCAGCGTCGAGGTGGATTACCACGTATCTATATTTCAATTCGTCGGCTGTGATACGATGTAGGTTGAATGTCATTTCAGCCACTGTGAATCACCTGGCGGGGTTGTCTCGCCAGAAAGGCTGCGGTAGTCTCACCGCCTTTATGGCACCGATCTCAGGGAATCCCTGCTCGTTCCGTGCGGTATGTGTGCCCTCGGGTCCGGTTGCGTCACCCGGCATCATTGTGTCGGTTTTATTACCCGACGGGTCCTGTTCGTGCTGTTCGTCCGTTTCTTCTTGCTTTTTCGGCGAATGTTCGACTGGCATCCCTCGGACGTGTCTGAACTCACTTGTCCATCCGTGTATCCGTTGCACTTGCGATGCGTGTAATCGTGGTCCTTCGGTGACGGGGTCACCACTTTGTAGCTTTTACCCGACGCCGTATTACGTTATATCGAGGTACGCTACTATACTGCGTGTCGAAGAAGGAACGATAAACTGTTCTTGCGATTGTCACGTTCCGTCAAGTATGTGTTTCGGCCGTTTTTCGGTCAACACATTTAAGTGCTTTACCGGGGATTTGGACTCGATTGTGTGAATTAATTAGTTCTAATCAGTCTTCCGGACCAAAGAGATAACGATTTCGATAAACTTTGTAACGAGGATCGTCTTTATTAATAAACTTATAATTTAAGTAATTGACCTTGAAATCTATTGGAATTAGTTTATAATTCTGTGATTTCGCGATTGAGGCGTTGTCCTCGGATTCAAGTTCTCTTAATTTAAGCAGAAAAGGTATAGGATCTTTATTAGAGTTTAGCGCCTGCTTGATTTGGTATTTAACGCGTTTGATTTGAATTCGTTTTCCTCCTTTCCTTTTGGTCATGGAGTAGGGATGTTGGTTTCTGTCCGCCACACTCTACGTCAGCGATCAGAGAGGAATAGAGAATTCTGTCCGCCACACTTTTCGTCAGCGATCAGTTTGACTTAGAAAATCTATTCGCCACACAATTAGGCAGCGATCAGATGAAATGGAGGATTTCGTTGAAATGAATCGTTGTTAATTAATACTAAAGCTTACTTTATTTTAAAGTGAACAATTCCTTGAATCGGAATAAATTCGAATCAACAGTTAAAACAACTAAGTCTTAGGTCTGTTAATCTAAAACTGTCTGACTCTAAGGTCTAAAGACTGCTGAAAAAGCTCAACAGTTAAAAGCTTAAAGCTCCTAAAAGCAACTAACAGCTACTGTCCCGAAGATTCTCCTTATATTTATAGTTGAATCCCCCCACGATATTTTAAGTGGAGGAGGAAGGTGTTCTCTGTTCGAAACACCACCCTGGCAACAGTTATCCCTGCTACCATGGTACCTGCTTCGCTCGGGTTGTAATACGATAGACGATCGCGATGTCTCCCACAGAGAAACTTGATTATTAATCAATATCATTGGTATGCCCATTGCTGTAAGAGTTCAATAATTTTTCTTCTGATTTATTTTAGATTCAAAAGTTTTAATTCAAAAGTTTTATGCTGATTTACACGTACGTTACACGATATAAGAAAGTTTATTATATTTCGATTACACTTGTACATGTATCACGGACTCGCAACGACTGTTACTGGCTTACTAAAGAACGTGCGCGCGCATATGCTTGGTTACTACGCCCTTTTGTAAAGGTGGTCTTTTATGTGTGTCGCGTCGAGCGCTATTGGTCAGAAGATGTCTATACTGCGTTCACGGAGAGAACGACCACGCATTTCGTCCGGTTCGGTCAGACCACGCTTCTATTTTGCCCCCTCCACACCGAACAGGCCCTGAGTAGCGCGCTCGATTTCCCCTACCTCATCCCCACTCTGTCCAAAGCTGCGCGAAGCGTGGTCGTTCTCTCTGTGAATGCAGTATAGTGAGGAAAGAGAGTCGCTACAACCTTTCTGTACTTACAGTGCAACCAGAGAAATGCACTTTTCTGTAACAGTGGTATGTAAACACAGCGAAAGCGATTCGTACGTATCGCATGTATGTATCGATTCGTATGTATCGTTTCGGCGGTGCAAATCTGAAACGCTTTCGTGCGTTCAGTTTACAAATCGCCTTTGCTGTGCGTACATACAAATTAAATGTGGTTAGTTTCTTGTCGTGAAGTGAGTGCTTGTTGTGTCACGACTAACAATGCTTGGAAGAAACACGTGTTTGGTTGTCTTTCAAGGATTATTAGTCGCCGAATGATTAATCGATAGCGATTAATAATAGTGATAAACGTGTGTGTTCCAAGTGTAAGTGAGTGAGTGAGTGAGTGAGTGAGTGAACCGGAGAGAAGCTGATCGCAACGGCCACCCCACGAAAGAGCCTGCGCTTGACTGTGAGTTGCGCCCCTGCCTACCTCCTGTATTCGACGTGTGATAGGGTAACAATTTTTATTTATATCTCGAAAAATAAGCTTTTACCAAAGTTTTACAAGAGGAAAATTCATCTTAGAATTTTATTCCTAACTTGTATTTTCAATGGTAAAAGGTTATACTGACTCACCTGTATAGCTATCGCATTTACTCGCCTTCTCATACAAGAGATGATTATAAAAACCATGTTGAAGTTTCTTTCTATATTTAATATTTTAAATGTTTATTACAAAATATTAACTTCTTTGTTAAACAAAAGTTATTATAAGGAAATTGTTAAGCATGGCAATATCATATGTTTTAGAAATTTATTAACCTTTCAATCGAAACAGAAGTCTGTTTTGCATACAAAATCTATATAAGCCTTGATATTTTCCGCTTTGAAAATATAAAAGCAAACATCTCACCGTACCAATACGCCAGAATATTAACATTTAGGACATAGTTTAGTACATTTTATTTTTATTTGCTCCTTCATTATAGACGACACTTTCATAACGATCTGCGATAAATCCTGTTTATTAAATTCGAGAACATGTTGTGGGGAAGTCCGCATGACATCTGCTGTATGGACACATTTAATTGATTGTACTGTTCGTTTTCATATGTGAGATAAGCATCAAGTAGGTTCAAATCGGTGAAAAGTTGTTTTACACGTTTTACTTTCTCCGGGTCGGCGACTCCGTAACACTCCTGTAATAAAAAAAAGGAGAAAGCATTAATACTGCAGCGTTTGATCGAACAGTCTAACAAATAATACTCACTTCTAATATTTTACGCTGTCGTGGAGTGGAGTGTTGAAGAGCTCTAGTAATAAACCATGTACATTTTCCGTCCTGGATATCGGTGCCATCTTTACCGCAAACATTTGGATCCCCAAAGCAATCCAAATAATCATCTTGAACTTGAAATAATTGCCCTATCTTTAACGAGACGGGTATTGCTTGCCTGAACATTTCTGGATCTTTTATTCCAGCCTTCAAATATAAATGTCACAGTGCATTGTTATCGTCAAAGCGAAACAGTTTTTTCCTGTATTTAAGAAAATCAAGATGCACTTACAAAATGCATTGCTACGGTTATGGCCACAAAGTACGAATAATACGCCGTTTTGTACTCGGCAATGGAATTGTACAAATCCGTCGTAAATAGATCCAGATTGGGATTTTTACCGAAATTGGTTGTAATCAAATCTAAGCACTGGCCTATCCATGTCTTCAATACGACCTGTAGAAATACTTTTGTATTATATGAATATAGCTCGATTAAAAAAAAGATAAATATGACATTTACGTAATAATACCCACACGGCATAATATATCTGAGACTTAAATCAAATATTATCTCACCGGTCATATTTGAGACATCTCGTAGATGATATATCCTGAATTTTTACAGGATATTACATCTCTGATATCTCTTTCTCTGATATCTCTTTAAAAATTGTTATTCATATTTTTAATATTATTTGTTTTGTTTTTACACAATTGTTTATTATTTACTTTTTCCTCAAAATAAATTTTCTAACCCTTATCTAGTCACAAAAAAAAGTACAATAAAGAAACGAAAAAAGGTTAATATGTGTTTACAATAACAGTATAAAAAGTAAAGGCTGATTTATGGAGGCTGTGTTCCTTAATAATTTATGCCGGAACAGATGAAGAAAAAATATATTTTACTATCACATTGTCTATTTTATAATGCGTAAAACTCGATTTCATTAAAATATAAATATCTAACAATAACAATAATGTAAATAAGGAGGCCAAGTTAAACGAGCTATTCGGTTGACAGTATTAATAAAGATTACGATAAAAAGAATTGTTAGACGACTTAGGCTGGCAGATGGTTTATTTGTTCAATTAAAATCCGACGTTTCGACCATACGGGTTGTGGTCCTGGTAATTATTTAGATTAGGACACCCACCTCCAATAACCTTGGGCTTGACATATATTATAGAGGTCACCCTCCTGAGTAACCCTCAGAAGGATTTAGCCGGCGCTCGTTGTTTATTAACAAGTTATTTAAAAAACAATGTCAACCAATTATATGTAATTTTCAGACACAAATATTAAAAATTTTGAAAAATGTTTTAAACAAAAGTTGTAGACCTCTTTGAAATATACATTTTATGTTCTATTCATTTTTACTGTGCGAGTAATAGTTTTCGAAAAAAATGATGAACTCTAAATCTTATATCTCTCCTCCCATCTCCATCTGTCGTACGTCATGGAAGTACATGCATGGAGACAGTATGTTCCGCCCCCCTACGGGGGGCTCCACTTCGTTAAAAATAAACCTACCCACCCTATGTCAGAGGTGTGGAGTGGATCTCGCTTCACGTGGAAAGTCGCAAACCCATGTTGTGTCGCTACATTTCGTCGGTATGACAGATTTCCTAACTCTAAAAGTTGTCAACTTTAACAATTAATATCTCGCTTCGTCGTTTAGCACGGCGCGCTACGTGCGCCCCCCGCCCCCTCCACCGCCCTCCCCTTTCCCTCCCCTTCCCCACCCCACCTGCTCTCTCCTCACCTCCTTCCCCGCACTTACAACTTACCACCTTCTGTCATACT